AGACAGTGCCTTCATCACGCGCTCGTAGTCTTTCGCCATGCTTTGGCTGCCTGTATACTCCATCTGACAAATATCTGCTGTAAAGCCAGAGGCGGAAGCGCGTTAGCTTAGATCAGCAGAATGTTTTCGTCTGTACGAGAACTCGTGCACAGGAGGCACTTGTCAAAGCCACGCGCTCGTGCCCATGCCCTTGCTTGCTTTGTGAGATGGAGTATAGACCTTTTCTGCAAGTGCGCCGCCATCTTGAATTGAGGTCACTTCCAGTATGGGCGAAAACATTGTTTTGCCTTTGCCACGCCAATAGAAGTCATTTAGGATATAAGCGTAACCGTCACACTTTCTCGTTTTGCCTCCCCTTTATTTTTTTACTATTTGCAGGTTGAAGCGTTGGATTATTTTTTTGTCGCCCATACCGGATACGCCTAGGTGGCTGGGGATGAGAGTACACAGAAAAGGTAACAGAAAGTATAAAACAGAGAGAGGACGAAACACAGACGAGCACATTCGTTCATAATAGCTGCGTGAGCACTTTTACGCTTTCAAGACAAGAAAGCCCGCGCTGGAGGCGGAGCTTCGACTGCGCTCTTCAGCTGTGCGAAATAAAAAGAGCAGGGCGCGTTATCAAAACAGCTATTAAATGCTTATAAGCAAGACAAAAGGCCTCTATATATTGCCACGCGCGGGGCCGAGCAAGCAACGCTCGGTCACTGACTTCTATGCTCTGTTTCATACTTAGCGTGCAACGATGTCAAAGATATACTGGCGCGAGCGCGTGGCTTCATCTCTGGTTTTGTTTGCGCGAGAACGCGTGCAAATGATCAACGAGATCAAGCCCCACAATTACACCAGTAGCTTTTACAGCGTTGCACGCTAAGTATGAAACAGAGTATAGAAGATACGTGTTCATTCTTACTTGGGGAGTAACTTTCATCATTTCGTCCTACTTTTTTGTTCTTTAAAGTCACCTGTTCACCTTCGCCCCGAAAGCTCGACGCCCGAACTTTCTGGGGCGAATTTTCGAGATGCCGACTCACACTAGATCACGAGCTGCGTCTAGCCTTATGAGTTATTCTCGCTCCCGCTTGCTGTTAGGCCGCCACTAAGACTGCTGAATTTTCGTATACTGGTGTTTGCAGTAAAAAGGCAAGATACAAAACGAAAATAAGCATATATATATATATATATATATATATATATATATATATATATATATATATATATATATATTGCCGTCCTTGGTTCCCGCAGTACGGCTTCTGATTATCTTTTTTATTACAAATAGCGCAGTGTTGAATACACTTTTTCTTTTGACAACCTGGAGCTGTTGTCCTATTTTTTAACAACTCTTTCGAACCGGTTGTCGCTTGGTGGAACCGATAACCGACCCGTTATTTCGAATTCACCACTAACCGAAACCGAACCGATAAAATTGAGAAGCTACTGAACCTGAACCTGAACCGAACCGAAAAGAATAACCGGTTCGATTTCCTGATTTTTTTTGTTTTTGTTTTTTCAGGAACCTACACCCATAAAATTCACTATGACAAATGCACCACCTAAAGATATATTTGTATAAACTTTAATTGTGCACCGTTTTCTGGCTTACTTTATTCTACTATGTTCACGCCAGTATAGAGTGCATATCTCACAATAAATAAACATTCAGGCGTTTTAGCATGTTTCTTGCGTCAAAACTTTGTTCGACTTTTCAGTGCACCAAACAATCGAGGGAGAGATAAGGTCACCCGAGTCGATCTTCCGGTACATCATTTTCGAAGACAATGGAAGAGTTCGGGCTTCAGAGCCCCACTCATGAAAGTTGACTGCCTTCAGTCATTCTGCATTCGTCCTTTTCTGTAGGGCTTAAGATTCGTAGGAACGCCAGAATGTGCTCTAATGTAATAGTCATTGTGCTGTTTGCGAATGTTTTCACGGCGGGAAGTGAGTCACCCCAAGGGGCGTTTGGTGTCTTCCCTGCGGATGAGCAATTTAGCCAGAACAGTACGGCTGCCAGTGGTGAAAGACGACCGCACGCCGGTTCTAGGGTTAGGGTGCCTTCATGTGTGCTTCGCATTGAGTGATGCCAACTGCCTGTTTCCCTTTCTTACACCCTCTTCCACCGCCATTTTGTTCCTCTCATTGTTTCCCCGTGCGCCGGAAAGTGGCCTTTGTGTCCATCGGTCCTCCCACCCGAGGGGGAAAATGCTAATGCCCCCTCGGTGGGTTCCACAACGCTGCTCCGAGCTTGTGAGATAAGGTGCTTGTTTCCGGGAGGGTTATAAACCCCACGGATTATCGCCGAGAACCAAAATGGCTGCTGGTGTGTCGGCGAGTGGTATTACAAAGGGTGACATCACCCTAGCAAAGCGCACAGGCTCCCTAGCCGGTACGATGCTCGTTCATATCGAAAGTAAGGAGCGGGTGAAGAAGTGGGAGGGGGGTGATTGCTTATCCCTTTTTTCTCCCCAAGCCTTCAAAGGGAGATTTTTCGCCGTTTTATAAGCGAACGACAAACCCCAGTTTTCTTTAAGAAGACATGTTTTGTTTTGGGCGAAATGGCACTTATTAGGTAAACAGAATATATTTGGGCAATGCTTCGCTCATCACGTCTCATCCGTTCGTGACGTCAACGAAAATTTCACAGAAAGTTTCTCCCTGAAACTTCTCGCGAAAATCTCTTTATCCCAAACCAGAACAAAATAGACTTTTGTTGCTCAGACAGCGGAAGGTGTGTCTGCCGAAGTATAGCGACATTGTTTCCCGCTCCAGTTGGCAAATAGAGCCAGTGCAATACCACCTCCAGCCTGGGGGTCTTTAAGGTGCATCACGCAACAGTGATAAACGACGGCGGCACGCCGGTACGACACTCCTTTTGATCGAAACAGGCAGGGGTGTGGTTTGAAACCATTAGGATCCCTGGGTGCTGCAGCGCGAGATTTCGCTCCACGTGCTCCGAGCAGTAAACACTTTTGTAAAGTGTCTGCCCTTAGTAGCTGCTGCGCCAATGATCAACGTCCGCTATTGTTTGGTCACGTACTTTGATGTGTCAGCATGCATTGGACACGGGTGTCAACATTCGACGAGAGCTCGTGTCAGCTCGTGTCAAGAACGAGTGTTTCGTTAGAAACCGGCGAGGACTCGGATTCAAACGCACGGTTCGTGCCCACCCACAAGATAACGACCGCCAATGTTGCCTTATGGAGCTTTGAAAAGGGCGATTCTTCAAAAAGAAAATGAACAACACATGGACAGTAAGTAAAAGCAGGGGGAGGAGGGACGGGAGGGATGGAGGGAGCGCAGGTGGTGTGGGACTCCATTAAGGTAGTGGTATGAGAGCGTGGACCCGTCATAAAGTCTGCACAGCTCCACGTTCAAGCCCACTGGAGCTGTTCTGGTTGCGAGTCAGGAAGCAGCTGATTCCTCTAGCCCATCCAAAGTAAGCGCTTTTCCTTAACTACGGCAACTTATTTTGACAGGCTTGTACGGTATTCATTACGAGATATAACATTGCCTGTAATGAATTAGTTTTAGGAGTAATTTTGTAATAATTTGGTTAAATTTGTTAGATGGTGATTGAAAAATTAATATAATTACTTTTTTGAGTAATGTAATCACCCGGTTACTTTTATTGCGTAGTCAACATAAGATTAACCTGATTACGTTTTGACGTACCTTTGTGACCATCCGATTTATTTTATTTGGTAGTAGAACCGTAAGACTAATCGGATTACTTTACGGAGTCATTTTGAAATAACCTGACTGCTCTTTGGAGTAAATTTGTAATTATACATACTTACTTACTGGAGTGATTTTGTGATCACTTGAAAACTTTTGGGAACAATTTTGTAATCCCCCGAAAACTTTTATTAGGTAGTAGTAAGATTAATGTGATTACCTCGTGGGTAGTTTCGTAATTACGTGATTACTTTTATTACGTAGTAATAATTAGTTAAATCTGATTCTTTGTGAAAGTAATAACATTATTTGTAACCGTTGCTATTTCTACAACCCCCCCCCCCCCCCCCCTCCATCGGTTTCCCAGTTTGACTGCAGCTTCGAAATCTCGCAAACAATGAGGAAAAAGACGATTGCTACCGAGCTGAGCAAAAGGACGCACACTTTCTGAAAAGTTTATATAGCGGTTTATTGGTCTTGAGCTCAACTGTGAAAGCTGATCGTTCTCTACAAAAGCCTTTAAGCGCAAAGTTTGGTAAATATGCAGCATTTCCGTCTTTATCAACCGCCCTACAAAAAAAAAAAAACTGTTTTACCATTTTTTTTTTTTTTTTTAACAAAACAGCTGAATCCGGTTTACGGCACCTCTAGGCCTGAGTACTACCAAGACAACCAAAACAGAGCAGTGTAAAAGTCAGTGTGACAAAAAAAAAAGAGGACTCGTCGCCATATTCAAAGTAAATGGTTGGTATTTGTTAACAATCTGCAATTCACAGAATTCAAGGATTGATTTTTATTTATTTTTTTTCTGTCTGAGGTTGCTTGGGCGAGGCACAAGCGATTGAGAACGTTCCATTAAACAACGAAGCCCGATCCTGTTTTCTTCTTCGACCTACTGTAATCTAGATTTAACTCCCAACTCCTCCACTTCGTGCCTATGATGACTTGTCTTTTGCCCCTAAGTCCACACAAAGAAGCTCATCGCATGCCTCCTCCCGTTGCGAAGGGCGCCTTTGATTTTCACACGTTCCTTACCAAGGAATACTCGCACAAAGTCTCCGCTAGTAGGATGTGGTTTGCCAAAAGTGATTGATTGATTTTGTATTCCGCTGATTCTAATCCAATAATGAACAGTGCAAAAGGACTGTTCTAAAACTGACGGGAATAAAAATTCCGTTTTGAAAATCTGAAGTAATCGGAAAAGAAACGGTTACATTTTTAAAATAACAGGCAATCAGATTTTTTTCTCAAGTAATGAAGTAATGTCATGGAATAGGCTCTTTCACCAAGCTGTAACCCCAGGGTGTGTTTTCAGTCTGCAGTTGTTCATCCTTGAAAGCCATCATGATGGGAACTGAAGGCAAATCCGACATGCCCCAATTCGAGTACTGGACCAACCGTTGGAACAACGGGGACACGTCGTGGCAACTTGACGGAGTCAATCCGTAAGAGCGCAGTAAACAAGATGCTGACTTTGCGTGAACAGTACAGCACCACAATTATCCTTTAAAAAAAAACATATGCAAAGAAATATTTAACAGCCTAGATGAAAAGCGAATGGGATAAAATAAATTCACAGCGAAAAAACGTTTCTTTGAACTATATTTACGGCGCGAAACGAATGTGTAGTTGGCGCCCGCGGGAGCCGGCCACCACACCCGAGAGCCGTTCAGTGCCGCCGCAAAGTCCCCAGAACCCTTACTCCACTGCCGCTGCTGCACGCTGCTGCGCGTTTCGCATGCAGCGATTCTGCGGCCAAAATCGCTGCCGCTAGTGGCTCCGCTGCACAAATCGGAAGGTTTCATTTCAGGTGCGTCGTCAATTACAGTTTTCTGCCGCTGCGTTGCCCAGACTTACTTGCAGCGTTGGACAATGCGCGCTAGGAATTTTAGCACTCTGCATTAACAATCTGAATGTCTTAGACTTCAGTTATGTTTTTGTTTACTTAGTTAAAACAAGATAACTATGTAAAACGGGGGAAAAAGGGAATTAGGTTTTCTTTGTTCATCTACTTTTGAAAGTTCGTTATTGCGGAGGCTGACACCTTGGCGGGAAAGGCTACAACAAATATGGCAATCTCCGAAATGGAGATATGCATGAAGGTTTGTGTTCATGAGGAGGCGAAACACGACAACACAAGAAACTGTCAAAAACTAAACACCTAAGTCTCAAGAATGCCAAAGGGGACAGGTTCTGATACAAAATGGAAGAGGAAAGAGGAACTCAATTTTGCAAATACAGTTCCCAGGCCAGCGGTTGGAATACAGGAGGGGGTAGGTGTGTGGGGGCTCGAACAACCATAAGCAAGGGTATGTCCGGCATTTCAGACATTTCTTGCAAAATAGTTAAAGGAAGGGAAGAACGACCTCCTTTCCGATTTCTCGAAGAGTTTCGACGCATCCACTTGAAGAAAAACTGCTGAACCCACCAATGGGGATGGAAAAAGGAAACCGCAAACCAGTGGCTTGCCTACTTTCTCTGCATGTCGTCTGCTTGAAAAACGCAAAAACGCCATCCTATGCGCCAGCTTTCCCGCAATGCTTCTCCTCTCACGTGCTTCTCCGCCGCTCTGTGAATGGCGAGCACGGATGCTGTCGCACTGCAACCGCGAGAAAAATGTCCAACTTTCTGGAACCGCGCCGCTCTGCCGCTGCGGCTGTTCAGAGCGCTGCGGCGGCGTGAATCTCGCCGCTCAAGGAGCAAAATCAAGTTACCTTATGGTAGCACTTCGTCTGGAGGCCCGCCAGAGTAAATTTCTAGAAATAAAGATTTCATTTCATTTAATTTCCTTTCATGTAAAACGCGCTTGAGCGTGGCATGCCGCAGGCTGAACACGTTTGTTTTTCTTTTTTATACGCAGAATGTAATTTAAAATATTGTTTAAAAAGAAAAATGACGTCGCGAGTCCTATTGTTTTCATAAATAAGGAATAAAAAAGAATCAGAAACGCCATTATCCCCTATTATTTAGCGACTTTCATTCACGCCACGGCAGGAAGGGAACACTCCGGCGCGCCGCGGCCGTCAATTTCTGACCGGCGCACAGGTATATCACGTGGTGCTTGCGCTCTTCCGGGAGCTTCCTATGGGCTCTGAAAGTTACTTATTAATCTTCGTTTTCTTCTTGTTGCAACAAATTTAAAATAATTAATAACTTTTGGAGCCTAGAAGAAGCTCCCGAACGAGCGCAAGCACCACGTGACAATATAGTGGCCAGTCACGTGACTACTAGCAACTTTTCCACGGCCCCCGCGGGTGCCAACTACAAATTCGATTCGCACCGAAAATAAAGCTGTAAAGATTTTATTTTGTACAACTATTTTTTTTATTTCTATTCATGCTGTTTAAAAACAACTTCCTTTGGATATGTAATTTAAAAGGTTCATAAAACTATGTGATAAAAGAATGAAAGACGTTTACAAATCCTTGTAACGCGTGCAGCTTTTGAGGAAGAGGAGGGGATGCCACGAAGGGGAGCGTATGCCCCTCCTCCCTCCTCCGTACAATTCATATTGGTGTTGAGGTCACCTGACCTCAGTTTTCCCGCCAAATCTAGCGGAGAAACCCGGAGAAAAGCTCACCGGAGTAAAGCTCACTGAAGAAAAGTTCACCGAAGAAAAGCTCACGGCAAAACCGGCGGATGCGGAGAAAAGCTCACTGGCCATTGAGCGTATGCGGAAAAAAGCTCACCAATTTTTTTTCTTCTTTTTATATGGAGGCAGTTGGATCATGCATAACCTATATCAATTAATTAACATTAAAATTCGTCAGCTTTGTAAAAAAGAAAATATCTTTTTTTGTAATATTTGTTAAGCTTATTGGGTATATTGCTCCCAAATTAATAATTTCGGGCGAGTGTTTTCTATGGCTTACCCTCTACGCAACGAAGCCTAACTGAAAACTTTATGCACCTGAAGAACAGGAAAAAGTTGAAAACTTAATAATGTCTGCCTAAAACCTAAAAATCAAAACTGTAAATGCCTAAAGTCCGAAAGTGCATGCGCAACAACGCGGTGCCTGAAACCCTCTTTGAAGCTGTTCACCTTTGAAAGGAGGTCTTCTTTCTTCCGCGGACATGCACATTTTCTAGCCGTTCGTGCTGGTGTTTCCACTCGATGCCTTTGTGCGATAGTGCCCTTCTACTGCGAATCACCCATTACCTTCAGAGCTGCACACTGGCACCGTTGTTACTCGTGACCTATATAAGAAGTAGTCTCGTGTAACGTAGCGAATAGGGCGATTTGGTAAACGTTATACATGATGAAAACCGCTCAAACGACGACGACGGAGTGAAGACAACAAACACGACAGGACGAGGCTGTTCTCGCAACTAAAGCTTTGTTAGTGAAATTAACAGAAAGAAAACAGCGTAGCCGACACTGATTACATGAACAAATACCTACTTATCTATTAGGCACTACAAAATATTTGGAGCTGAGACGGTTCACCACACCGCTATTCATATTAGCTCGCAAAGGACAAACCTTTTTATCTGACAGAGTTACCGAAGGCGCACTTTCAGCTGTGAATAAATTGTTGTCTTTTCTTACCAGTGTACGATGTTCTTATTTCATACTTGCGGCTTATTTAATATACATAATGGGCGATTACTAATTTCTGAGGAATTAGTAAATATGCCCAATGAACTTCAAGAATATTACAAAGACAGAGGAGATATTTTTAATGAAGTGACGAATGCGAATTGTGTTAAATTGCCACGTTTGACGCAGAATCCGCTAAGTTAAAAAAAATGCGGTGAGCTTTTCTCCGCATCTGCCGGTTTTGCGGTGAGCCTTTCTCCGGTGAGCTTATCTTCGGTGAGCTTATCTCCGGTGAGCTTTTCTCCGGTGAGCTTTTCTCTGCACCCGAATTCATACATGGGTGACGCGACACGAAGTCATTTGACGTTGTTTTCCAAGCTAAATTTAGCGGGAAACTGAATTCATGTTGCGGTCACGTGACGTCAGTTTTGCCCCCTAAATCTAGCGGAGAAACTGATTTCATTTATGGGTGACATGACACAAAGTAATGTGAAGTCATTTTTCGCGTTAAATTTAGCGCGAAGAATGACCACACGTGACCCCAACGCAAATTAATTTCCCCGCTAATTTTATCGGGGTGGTTACGCCGACGCCGACGTCGACGCCGCTCAAGCCGGAAATAAGTGCCTAAGAGCTGCGCTCGAAAAGGAGTTTCAAGCACGATCCAATGTAACGCGTTTTTGTGCGTGCTTAGCCCCTGCTCTTTCTGAAAATTGCGTATTTCATCGCGTTTTTGCTGTTTCCGGTGCGTTTTCTGAGTCACAAGCATGCGCGTTGGTTAGGACAATGCGACTTCGGCCGAGCGGAGAGCATCTGCGCGAGACGGCGAAGTCGAAACTATAGTGCCGTCCACCGAGTGGCTTGGAGCAGGAGCGCCCTACTACGTCACAGCGCGTTTTCTTGCGCGTTCAGAAAAAGTTGGGATCATCCAACTTTCTTATGCGCGCCCGGAAGGCGCACGGAATCAGCGCGACGTCACGAAATACGCAATCTCCGGGAAGCGCACGACTTTCGCGCGCACAAAAATGCGTCGGTTTTGGATCGCTCTTTAAACTGCCACGAAACCATATACTTGCTTGTTGGCTGGCGTGCCTGCTCGCTTCTACGCGTGTCATCCAAAACAAAATCGTAGTGTTCCTCGTCTTTTCCTTCACGCAGACTCCTAGAGAAGAACCAGGACGTCATTTTGGCTGGAAAACAGGATGCCCGGGTTTTTATCCCGATGTGTGGAAAGGCACACGAGTTGAAATGGTAAGGGCTGTCATCGTCACATTTTCTGCAGCAGTAGAAGCCAGTGGCTCATTGATGAGCCAGTGGCTTCATGAGCCAATGAGCCAGTGAGTCACTGGCTCGCTGGCTCTTTGGCTACACAGCGCGTGTACTGGAGAAAACCTCCCATGGTCCCTTAGTCCACGATCACACTGCTCGTGCACCATACAAAAGACGGGGAGTTTCTCCGCAGACATGTTGGCAGAATTATCTGCGGATACCCCTCAAGCATCTTGGAAGGTGCTTTAAAATGCTTCGAACATCTTGCATGACTATTGGGACGGGATACACACCTCGGACAGTATCTGCACACTGTCTTCTGAATGATGCCTCAGCAGCTGTGTGAGCGCGGCTTCTGGGTTTTATTCGGCTCCCCACTGAAAAACATTTGCAAGCAGCCACGCTTCAGAAGCTGTATGTCTAGCTTCTGCGGATAAATATGCTTTTGTTGGGCTCCGGTATGGCAACTCTGGACATGCCTCACCGAGTACAGACTGCCCCTGTGAAAAGGGAAGTAAAAAAAGCCGAGAGAAAGATATGGGAGAAAAGAATACAAGGAAAATCGGCCTTAACGATGTATACGTGACGAAAACAGGAAATAGAGAAGGAACATTCGTATGATAATGCACGGGGGAGCTCTTTGTTATTCCAGACTAGATTGGGAATATTGAGGACTGGGACATATAGGACGAGGTGTTCCGTATGTCGATGGGAAGACGAGCCAATAGATCATGTGGCGAAGAGGTGCACAGGGCTTGTTCCCACACTCCCGGAGGGGGGCGACGTTTTTTGGCCGCAGCGATGGGCTTTGCAGACGAGAATGGAAGAATAGATGTTAAGCGAATTTTTATAACAAAGGGATTTGGGGACTGGTGAAAATTATCAAGGGGAATTGAATGAAGTACAACTAACTGACACAGCTGGAGACAAGGCGGGACAGAGGAAGATTGGGACTCCTTCCCGCGTGGCTCCGGCCCAAAGTAATCTACCTTGACTCCCAGCGAGCCCGTTACCGGGGTAACGCCGACTGGGCCCGACAATAGGAAAATTGGCGACTCCCTCACCGGGGGGAAGAGGCGGGGGTGATGTTTTTAGTTTCTTTGCCCGATCCCCCAAAAGTCATCCTGGTGATATCCCACACCGCCTGGTGATAATTAAAAACTTGCAGTGTGGAAGCAAATTGGCTTAGAAAGACGAAGGAAGCAACCATACATTTGGCATTTAATTTGTAGGCTAGGTGGTGCAAGCTACCGCCCATTATAAAGGGTACGGCGTTAGCATCCATTCATCGATCCCGTCTACTAGTACACTGTATTAAGACGTGACTCTCAGCAACGTTATTAGATTAGCTAAGTTACGGAACTGCCTATTTAGATGCTGCTTGCGCAAGCAGTAAGCTGCTGTCCTCCCATTGCTCGCCTCGCATCGCTTGACGCACCACCATTTTAGGCGGACGGCCGGTATGGTAACTGCAGTACATTCTATGAGATACATGCACAGGGCCTAGATGGCGTTTAACCGTACTCTACGGTACACACAGTTTAGAAACTAAAATCTAGATGGTGCTTTAAACGACGACACGCAAACTGAAGGGAGTGAGCGGGGGGGGGGGGGGGGGGGGGGGATCGGACGATTTACACGGGTAAGAAGCAATATGGCGGCGTCCAGAGGCTGCACTTGTGAACGTCTATAGGCAATACATCGTAGAATACATGGCCTGCTATTCGCCCCCCCCCCCCCCCCCCCGGGTCAGGGCAGCTATGGAATCCCTGCACAATGGCTCACTTAAAGAGCAACGTCATGGCACACTTTATGCGTCTGGGTAATTAGAAGGCAAACCTACACGCACAAAAAGCTGATGAGCGCAGTGACGTTGCACTTTTGGCGCTGTTTAATTGGCTCGTCGAGTCCTAATGTAAAATTGTTCCACGGTGTCAGTTATTCCGCCATTTTGCAGTGGTTACGACATTCTAATAATTGACACCTGACTTTCGAAAGGAGTCTATTGCTTAGAGTTCATGTGGGGAGATACACTATTTTACTTTGATCGTAATCTTTTCACATGTAAAACTTCGGCGAAGAAAAATGCAGGAAACTTGAACTTAATGTATGGACCGTTCCGATCAGGTTCTACAACAAAGGCCATCGCGTCGTCGGTGTGGAGTTCATTGAAACAGTTGCCAGGAGTTATTTCCTCGACAACTGCCTCCCTCTGGACGAAGGAGAATGTCCTATACTCAAGTGCAAGATCTTTCAGGTAGAGTTTTTGACTATCTGCAGATTTCAATAACGCAGTACCTTCCCAGGCATGCCAGCCACGTTCAAATGAGTGTTTTAATGCGCTAGCATTATAACGTCAGTTTTGGCGAAACCAGGGGGTGTTTTTCGTTTGTCAGCGCTTGGGAAAGAGGAAGAAGGAGGGAGAGAGTGACGCGTGGGACGCGCCCATTGGTCCGGAGCGCTGCCGTCAGCAGCACACATCAACAACTCCCTCCCTCCCCGGCGCTGACAAACTGACAGACAGCGCCGGGTCTTCGTCAAAGGGAGCTATTTCGTTTAAGTCAGACACGCGCACCTCTGGCGCGGAGTTAGGAGGAAGCGCCGCGCAACAGCTCCTAGATAACAAAACCGTAATGCTGAATGAGTTTGCGCCATCAGAAAAGGCCAACGTTGGACATAGATTGGAAACGAGTGCTGCGTCAGTGCTCGGCTGCGAGTCACCGGTTTCTCAGACATTATACAAGCCATCCAGTGTGCCCACAAGGCCGCCACCAAACGCCTAACCTTTCCCGGGGACGCTCCGGCACCTGATGCACATTAACTCACCCTTTGGAACCGCCGCATACGCCTGTTGGCTCGCTACCGCCGATCTGGTAGACCACGTCGGCTCCTCAGGGTTTTGCGCCAGGTGCAAGACACCATCTCGAGCTACACATCGGAACTGGCTTCTGACCGCTGGACCTCCATGTGCATCTCCGTTTCCGGTAATACCAATCTCTCCAAAGTATGGAGGCTTCTGCGCTTTCTCCTTGGAGACCGCAAACCTAGACAACCTGCCGCTGCCGTTGCCCTCCGCGAAGGCGTTTCTTTCGAGGAGCTAGCGGAAAGAGCGTCTGATGTCTTTTTTCCACAACCATCTCGGCATGACCCTGGGTGCTACACTCGTATTCACCCTGTTCCCGAGCCTATCGGCTTGGATTCCCCGTTCACCCTCCACGAACTCGAGGCCGCCCTGGATAGGGCAAACACACACAGTGCACCAGGCCCTGACAACATCACCGTCGGGCAACTTCGCAACCTTCCCACCGCCCTAAAAGAGACCGTACTGACGGAGATCAACCTGGTGTGGGATTCTGGGTGCGTCCCTTCCGAGTGGCGTTACTCGACGGTATGTCCTATTCCGAAGCCCGGCAAACCACCTACGTCTCTCACAAATCTACGCCCAGTATCCCTCACATCATGTCTCTGCAAAACGGTTGAGAGCATGCTGAACGCCCGTCTTCAGTGGTGGCTTGAGTCCAACCAGCTGCTCAGCCCATCGCAATACGGGTTCCGCCCTGGACTCTCCACTCAGGACGTCATGAGCCGCCTCCAGCACGATACGCTATCTACATCATCACCGCATCTTCGTATTGTGGCAGGGGTCGACGTGCGCAAGGCGTTTGACAGCGTCCCGCACTCCTCCGTCCTCTCAATGGCACAACAGCTAGGCATCACCGGTCGGGCATACAACTTCATCGCGGCGATCTTCGAAGATCGCACTTTCACTGTTCACGTCGGCACATCCCACGGAATCGCCTATACAAACCGAGTGGGCGTTCCACAAGGGTACGTTCTTTCTCCAGTACTTTTCAATATCGTCCTTGCTGGCCTTCCTCCCCGCCTTAGTGAGGTGCCTAACCTCGAACATGCGATCTACGCCGACGATATTACGTTGTGGACCCACTCTGGCTCACCCGGTTACCAACAGGGTGCCATTCAAGCTGGGCTCGACATCATTCACGACTACATCCAGTCTGTTGGCCTCGCTCCCGCTCCCGACAAGACGGAGTTCGTCGTTATTCATGGCGGTCGTCGCACACCAGAAAAAGAAGCAGAAAAACAGTGCATTCAGCTCACGCTGGCAGGTACTCCCATCTCACGCCGCACGAGCATCCGGATTCTTGGTTTTCACCTCGACCAAGACAGCCGGGCGGCGACTTGGTTTCAGCGTACCATCAGCACCTCGAAACAGCTGAACCACCTGTTATACAGAATAGCCCACCGCTCCCGCGGGGTGCACGAACATGATCTCCATATCTTTGCTAGGGCCTTCGTGGTGTCCCGCATTATGTACGGCTACCCGTACTACCACCTTACCCGCACCCAACAACTCCGGCTCGAAATAATTAATCGGGAACTGCAACGAATTGTCACCGGCCTTCCGAGGTACACGCGAATCGATGCGCTCACCAGCTGCAGCCAGATGAACAGCCTTGACGACCTGGCCTCCACCCAGATCGCAACTCAAGAAACTCGACTCCGAGCCACTCTAGTGGGGCGCTTCACACTGCGTAAGCTAGGTTACAACATCGACCACCTCCTACCTTTACCCACCCCACCCCCGCCATGGGAACTCTGCCCTCTCACAGCACCCCGTCCCCTCCCTCGGAACATGGGTGAAAAAGCGCAAGCCCGCCGCAGCGACTTTACTCGCCGACATCTCCACTCTCTCCTTGTTCGCTCTTCATCGGCTCTAGTTTTCTACGCGGACGCGGCGGTGGACAATAACTCCACGCCAATCTTCAGCACGGCATGGTGCGATGTCGACGGTCATCGACGCGGTACACAAGTTTTCATGACCCCCTGCTCCTCTAGTCACGCTGAACTTTGTGCTATACTGCACTCCTTAACCTCCGTTAACACTTTCACCCTGGTACCCTTTTCCAGAATCGTAATATATACAGATTCTCAGGAAGCCATCCGTGCTCTCCGCCACTCATCTCCATCATCTGCCATCGCTATTCAGATTCATCGGGCAGCCATTTCTATCCGGACAGCCGGCCACCATCCCCTCATCGACTGGTGCCCGCCCACAGCGGCATACCCGGCAATGAAAGGGCTCACCGACTTGCGCGCGCTAAACTTCTCTCCGCGCGAGCCGGGGCCCCTACTTTTCCTACGCCACCGGAGCTCACACCTGGCTCCTTTCACGATTCACACGAAGCCCGGCAGGAGCACGCCAGCCAATGGCGTCATTACCTGACTACTCAGGCTAACCCCCTTGACTTCCCCTCTCTTTCCCACCTTCCTCTCACTCGCCACGAGACCTCCCTTCTACAGCAAGCCAGGTCAGGAGCGCTCCTCGCTCCCTCCCTGCTTGCAAAGATGTATCCCCAGGTCCACATCAACCCTCAGTGTACCCACTGCCACATTCCTGCTAGTCTCCCCCATCTTTTGTGGGACTGCCCGCTCCACTCAACAGCCCGCGTTCGCGCGCTCTCAACCCTCTCACCTCCCCCCTCCACTCTTACTGAGTGGCTCAACCCCCCATCCGCTCCTGACCCTGGTTGTGACCTGGCGGCATTCCAGGCGATTTTCCGATATTTAGAGGACCCGCAGGCGCCCCCACTCGGCTTCAGGCTGCTCAAGCAATACGAGCCAATCATCGCCGCCGCCCGACGTCTCTCTGCCCCTGGTAACACCAGGGACACATAAGACGACGAGATAAAAGACCATACAGCAGAGCGCATAGGGCGCTCATTCATTTGGTCTGTAAATAAAGACGTTTGAAAGAAGAAAGAAGTTTTACCTGAACGTTGACGCAGTCGTTGTGTTCATTTGTGCCCAGGGTTGGCCTCCGCCGATGCCGCCATCTCATTCAGCACTACGGCTTTGTTATCTAGGAGCTGTTGCGCCGCGCCACGGTGGAATGCTGGCATGCTCAATTGGCGCGCTCTGCCGTCACCGGTTGTTCTTCGCTTTTGGTGTCCGTAGTAGCGGTGCGTAGGCTCTGATGTGGGTGTGTAGTTAAAACGATGAATGCGCTTCCCTCAGCAAGTGATATCGATGCGGTTCTTTCTACGAGTAAAATGAATGACCGCATCCAAGGGCTTCGACGTACCGCAGGCAGAGTACAAAAATGGGGTGAAAAAAATTAGAGGAAAATTCATTTTGCATTCTTAGGGAATCCGTTAGCATGACCCTTGGGAAACGCCACACACGTCCCTCTTTGGGAAATGCTAACACTGGCCCGGTAACGAGGCCAAGAGGGGCACCAAAAATACGAAAAGGAAAAGAGAAAGCCAAACATGAACGATGTTTAGAGCTCCCTGTAACGCCGAATTAGAGTGGAGCTTTTGAGAGGGAGAAGGGAAGGGTATGGAGAGGAGGGTATGTCTCTCCTCCTCATCCGTACCGTCCCCTCTTCCCTTGCTTTTCCTCTTCCACTTCTTCCTCCTCCTCCTCCTCTCGCGGTATTTCGATTTTGGGATATACCGTGCTAAACAATCTAAGATATACATATATATATGAGGCAAAGTAGTTTGAGAACAATGAACCGGGAAAATGTAATAAGTCAAAGATCCGTACTTTCGGAGTTGCTATGCTAGGAAGTTTATTGTATACATTACGTCAGTTTTCGCCGAGACGCTTAGCTTCGTCAGGAGATTATATTGTGGTATGATCGCTCAGCACTTGTCCGGAGGGAGGACATGTAGTTCTCACATCTGGAAGCTCCACTCTGTCTAAGGTCTGCCGGTGCCAAGAAACAGGACAGCAGGAGCAAGGCTAGAGAACGAGACAGAGTTAAGTCAACACTTTGACGAAGCACGTGATTCTCTCAATGTCATCCTACTTGCTCTCGGCTCTGTCGAATACTGCTCGGAAGTTTTGATTTCCTCAGCATTAGCCTTGAGCGTGCTCCCCCGAGATGGCAGAACAGAACAGGGAGAGCCCGTCCCTTGGAGCCAATGGGATGTTTTCCTGTATGACTGGTATGAAGTTTTTCTTTGTCTTGCACGAAATGTTTGGTGAGTGCTGTAGGCGAAAAATACAGAGCTACCACAAGCAAGCCGTTGTCGACCTTGGCGGCACACCATTTACCAACTTCATCTGACGTGCCACAGACACCGATGGGTACAGCACAGACCCATACCCATGTAGATGGCCACTTGGATAACTAGTACACCACGTTTTCATACGTGCCTCTCTGTGATTTATGAATGGTGATATCACTTGCCTGCAGAACGGGTAGCTGGCATCACCCTCCTCCTCCCCCTCCTCCTCCTCCTCCTCCTACTCCCCGCCTCGTGACGTCACTGACCTTCATGACGTCACACTGACGTCCCGTGTGACGTTATTTTGGGAAACGTTTCATTTTTGTGTGCGGTTGACAGCGGTTGATCCCATTTTACGATTTTTTTCTGTCTTCTTCAATATTGAATTGTGTGAATTGTGATTTTTCCCCCACTCCTGCAGTAGCCCCGACGGGGCTGCAGTATGTAAAAATAAATAAATTAATAAAATGATGCAACGCACGAGCCACACGTGACGTCACGTGCGACGTCATTATCGGAAACGTCCCATAATGCAATGCGCGGTTACGCCGACGGCGACGGCGACGCCGCCCAAGCCGGTACCGGGCGCCTAAAAGGTGCGCTTTTAAAAGAGCGGTCAGCGTTAGCGTTTCCCAAAGGGGTATGTGTGCGGTGTTTCCAAAGTTTCCAATCGACATCACAGGCGTTATCGACAAATCTGTATATGTAGGTTTCACGTAACGTGTTGCCGACTCCAAACCTATCCGAACGCCATGTTGCTGAACCATGCCTTCCCATGCGCGGAGGCAGTGCTTTTGTGATCAGTAGAGTTCCTTTCAATATTCATCGACCGTGCCAGCAAGAGTAGTAGGAAACAGAAAAAATGAAAGCCGTTTACAACTCCCTGTAACGCCGAATCAGAGCGCAGCTCTTGAGGAGGAGGAGGGGAAGGGTACTGAGGGGAGAATATACCCCTCCTCCCTTTTCCTCACCTCCTCATGCTGTCTGCTTGAGGTCACGTGCCGTCCTGTCGCGTGACCCCAACGGCGTCACGTGACTTCAAGGAGATCACGTGACCCCTATGAGGTCACGTGACGATGACGATGACGGCATCAGTGACGTCACTGATGACGTCATCATCACTAGTGACGTCATCAGCGAAGATGACGATGCGGATGACGATGACGTCATCAGTGACGATGACGATTCCAATGTCGATGACGTCATCAGTGACGATGACAATGCGGATGCTGATGACGTCATCAGTGACGATGACAATGCGGATGCCGATGACGTCATCAGTACGTCACTCATAACGTCATCAGTGACGATGACGATGCCGATAACATCATCAGTGACGTCACGCGTCCCATAATGCACCGCGCGGTTACGCCGACGGCGACGCCGACGCCGCTCAAGCCGGAAACGGGCGCCTAAGAGCTGCGCTCTAAAAAACGACGGCTGCTACTCAATTTCAAACATACCTTTCTTGATGGGGACTCAAGACGAGCCTGCTATCCAGAAGTCGACCTGTTGACGGCCAAAATTACCTTTTTGGACGCTGCCGGGATGGTGACAAAACCGAACTAAGAATAAATTTATGCGTCCCAAATACATCCTCTGTCGTACTTAGTGAATTCTATCGTCGAGGAAACCACTCATATTGGTGTATGAGCTTACGGGCATAACGGCGCCGCCTTTTCTCTTAATAAAACACATAAAGCTTTCGTCTAGCAAAAACAACCACAGTTGATATTTTAGAGCCCAGCTCTTAGGCGCCCGTTTCCGGCTTGAGTGGCGTCGGCGTCGCCGTCTGCGTAACCAAAGTCACCCCAAGGTCACGTGACCCCCCGAGGTCACGCCCCCCAGGGCACGTGACCCCTCCCAAGGTCACCCCAAGGTCACGTGACCTAAGCTCACGTGACCCTACGTGATGACCTTAGGGTCACGTGACCTGACCTACGTGACCTCGTGTGACCTTACGTGACCTTGGGGGTCACGTGACCTAAGGTCACCTTAAGGTCACGTGACCCCCAAGGTGACCCCCAAGGTCACGTGACCCCCGAGGTTACGTGACCCCCCTCTCTCCCTCCCCCGAAGTCACGTGATCTCCTCTCCCCGAGGTCAGGTGACCCCCCCGGAGCATATTAAAGAATGAAAAGAGGAGGAGGAGGGGTCTACCCTCCCCTCAGTACCCTTCCCTCCTCCTCCTCCTCCTCAAGAGCCGCGCTCCAATTCGGCGTTACAGGGAGTTGTAAACGGCTTTCACTTTTTTCTCTTCTGGCTTACCACGGGTGCTTCTTTGCTGAATATAATTTACGTCTTGCCATATTCTCGGTTTCTTCACAGACTCCCGATAAGAGGTTACGAATATTCGTCTGCAGCGTCTTTGACTTCGACAAGTAAGTACTCTACTGCTACTCCCGCACGCAATGCTCAATGAGGGAAAAGGTACCACTTTATACTATTAAAAAAATGACGCAGAGGGGCACGGTGAGTGACGCGGTCTCCTACCAATCAAAACGATCAACTCTAAAGCGACAGGGCTAACGGCACTAAACTAAAGTCAGGGTAAAAAGCTTCCTAGAACGCATGCTAGAACACCTGGCGGCTTTTCGTTTCGTGTCCGCAAGCCATCATCATCATGATCATCATCATCATCATAATCATCCCTCCTTAAGACAGAAGAGGCGGAACTGGTGGAACTTTGGATACAGATTACCTGCGGTGGAAAGTCATTCCACGGCATCTCTTATGGTAAACATGAAGTTTGCGAAAACGTTTTTCTGCAAAAGAGCGTCGTTTGAAAAAGGTCCTTCTCCGTCCCCCGAGGGGGCTTTGCTGCTGGCGGAGCGGAACCCTCTCCGCCCGTATGCATCTAAGAATGCTCATTATAACCCAGGATGCAACGCCAAAGGTCCGAGCCACATGCCAAATTTTATAACTAATCGTTATCACACTTAAAAGGTATAAGTGGAAGTTTTGATAGAAAATAGGACCCGTCTTTGACTTTCACCTTCACGTGTTCATAAGCTACGCCGGCCTTCATTTTCCAATTGAAAATTTATGAAAAGTTTTCATAGCCCTCATATCAGACAGCGGTTAATTTCAAAACTTGGGCCTCTTGTTGGGACCGTTAGCGCAACATCTGGGCTCATAATGATCGTTCGGAGATGCATACTTCATTGTTTTGCGGCGCTAACAACCCCATATAAAAACGTTTGGGACATCTTGAGTCAATTTTCGGTGCTCCGCGACGAGCCAACCCTTCCCGGATAGCAAAGCTGCATTAATGAATTGTCAGCGTCACTAAAGACGGCCTACGAAGGGCAGGGAATGGACATGGGTGATGCGAGATCGTCTCGTTGAAATTTACTTATTTATTCACGGTACCTCATTGTACCTAATTCGTGCTCATTTAGTAAGAACACGGGTTCCTGCAGCCGGACGATGCCGCAGCACTCGTGATAAGTTTGTGCCTCACGTGGGACTTTTTTTTTCTTTTTTTTTTTTTTTTTGACGCTACAATTCAGCATTACTCTAGACGGCTACGCCAAAGGAACACACAACTTGGCCCAAGTTTGGCAATTCTATATGAGCCTAACTTAGGCCAAATAAGGTTTCTCTCTAAGGCGTTAGTTACTGCCAAAGTATTTATTTAGTGTTTCTACGGTTTTTTCTGTTCGTCACAGAATTTCCAAAGTACCAAACATGAGCAGCCAGAAATGCCACGCATCAGTCGAACAACCCAGAGCTAGGCCTATTTCCGGCACGTGTTAGGCACCTTGGGTCGAAGTAGGGCTGCGCAAATCTCCAAAAATATTCTGGAATTTAAATACTGCGAAAAGTGTATTTTAAGGAAAATAAATCAAGGTGACCAAAAAACTGTTTTTTTTTTTTTTAATGAAGTAAATTAAGTTTTTTTTACTTAAATCACTGTAGCCATAAAATAGTGCTTGCTCATTACTAGAGGTGTTTTTAAATACGACCGATTGATTGATCTATCAGTCCAATTTCTGCAAAGAACGCGAAAGGAATTCCTGTACATCTAAAGTAAAGTTTAAATAACTACTTTTTATTGAATAAAGCTCTCCATAGTGGAAAAAAAGGTTGAGATTTTAGGTTACTGAAAAAAGCTGCATTTGCTGTTTTTCGCGCTGTGACTTTTTTGCAACATGACTTTACGTTTAGAGTGCTAGTTGCTTTCTCTTCAGTGATTATTTACTTTCACTGCGACGCTACGTAACAAGCGAATGAAATGAATGGGAGAAAACAAGCTAAACGTTTCGATTTGTTCAAAAAATCACCGCTTTGAACTCGTGTACAACCTGATATAATTCTTCCTTGTAAGATGATTCCTTAATTTAACTGCAAAACAACTGCACATAGGAAGTATCATATGATAAGCAAAAGGTAAATGAGTAAATATTTTTCTGATCATTTTTGCGGAAAAGGTTTGATTTAAATTGTCATAAAAAACCGGCGTGGTTTAAATTCCGTTTTAAATCATTTTTCCTTAATTCGGTTATTCATTCATGTGTAATTCTTTACCCTGGACAAAAACGAATACTCTGATACATATTATATTTATGTAACAGCATATCTCCAAGATACTTCTGTCAGAACGGCCAAAAAGTATCACGGAATGCAAATGCAGATACGTAGAGATATCCATTTTTTTTTTCCCCGAATGGCAGTAGGTGTGGAGGTGTGCAGTACCCGGCGAACTCAAACGTCGTCTCGAGTGATTTTGAGTCACCCAGTTTGTGGAGATTGAACAGAGAGGGAGCTTATCCTACTAATTTTTCGAGTGACGTTTCTTCAAACCAATATTTTTTTTTTGTTTTTTTTTTTATACATTTTTTTCAATTACGGATTCTTTCTCAACCCTTGATGTGTCTTCCCTCGTGTCGAATGTGTGATTTGTAGTTTAGCGTAAAATCCCATAGTTAATTTTGTTAACAATGCTAAAATATACCTAGGCCTGCGTGGTGAGTATTGGGACAGAAGCGATACTCCGCAAATTTATTTCACTACTGAGATACCACCACATTTTTCGAATGTAACTTCATATACAGAGATAGAGATACTCGAAAGTGCCTGTGAGATGATACCGCGATACATTTGTATTGCGATACTGACCAGCACCGGCCCAAAGTTGCCAAGCAAAATCCGAGCAAACAGAAATGAAGCCTATACTTCGTCTCACCTTAGCATGGACTATTGTTATCCGCGCATGCTAAGAGCGCGAGCTAGTTGCTTTGGATGAAGCCTCGGCGGCTGCACGAGCGCTCCCGCAGCGAGTGCTCCAGTCAAGGCAATCGAGGCTAGCCGGTCGCGCTTGCACAGCCTTAGCCGTTAGTCCATGCTAAGGTGAGACGAAGTATAATTCTGGCATTTCCTCAGGAACTGAGGCAAAAAGAAGCCAGATGAAAGCCCAAAAACCAGGCAGTGAAGGCTATCTCTGCGCTTGTTTAGCAATTTAGGGTCAAGGTAGCCAGACTAACCAAAGAATATCAAGTTATGTTACACATTTGCTTCTTGCGGCTTTGCGAGTCTTAAATTAAGAGGCAAAAACCAAAATTTGGACATGAGAACTGTACTACTGGGCGTGCCTGTTTATTCAATGGATCTTGGCCAGGACCTCGACGCGTTCAAGATCACTTGTTCGACGGCTCATCACGCCTTTCGTGGTGAGGGAGAGAAAATACGCGATCCCTTTCCGCATCATGGGGCCGCCTTCCAAATCGCCATAACTGTGCACTAAAATTTCCTCTCGCCTCGGGTAGGGGAAGCCGCAAAGGCTTTGCGGCCTCCGCTATCCACAACCTGGAATCCCGGATGGTCTGGAGTGGGTACCGGCCTGGAGAGTTTCGGGTCAGTGTGAGGCGGGAAGAGGCTCCTCCTCGACATCGGCTTCTGTTGTCTTGTTTTAGGGAAGTCGCTAGAGTCTTCGATTGACAGCCAGGAGAAGCTGTGCCTGGTTGCGTGCACCATGATAGGAATACGGTTTGCCAAATCTAGATTCAGAACCCTCCACGATATTTACACCCGATAGTCTGTGCCAGAATCCCCAGTATCGTATCGTAAGGTAGCTATCGTACGACGCTACAACATTTTTATTATTTTCTGACGTATCAATTTTAATGGATTTTTGCTATTTTGCAGGTCATGCGCCGGAGCAATGGACATTGTGTGGGATAGAGGAGGATTGTGCTCAATCGATGTGGAACTCAGAGATAGGCAAGTCGGCAGTGTATTAATCGGAAATCGGAAAAACGCCAAAGCATAGCATATGATATAAATAACATGATTTAGGGACGGTCGTGTCAACACCATGCTGCCAGAAGTAATTAATTGTGTTGTGTGTGTATGTTTAGACTGTCTAAAGCTTGTCATCCTTAGGCCTCATTCACAGAGCCGTCTTTACCCCCGTCCTGGCGGGAGCGCTGGGCGGCGTTCCCGCCGCGGAAGGGGGTTTTCGGACCAGTGGGGGACCCGAATCGCGCAGCCGGACTCGAAGTGCGCCGAAAGGCGCTGATCTACGCCTCCGGCGCTGACTGGCACGGGGGTGCCGGAGTCCCACCCCAACGGGGGAAGACCAATCCCAAAATAGGAAAGCATCGATCAACCTGGCAGATTCTCAAAAGATTTACCGCTGAACGTCTGCTTTAAATAAAAGCAGATCGGTTCCTTTACGATATACGTGGATACGACTTTCAAAAAGAACGGACAAAGGAAAAAAAGTGAAAGCAGCTTACAACTTTCTGTAACGCCAAATTAGAGCGCAGCTCTTGAGGAGGAGGAAGGAAGGGTAGCGAGGGGGGGTCACGTGACCTCGAAGAGGGGTTCACATGACCTCAGGGGGGTCACGTGACCGGGGGAGGCGGGTCACGTGACCTCGGGGGGGGTCATGTGACCTCGGGGAGGGGGGCACGTAACCTCGGGGGGGGGGGGGGGGGGGTCACGTAACCTCGGGGGGAGGGTCACAGGAACCCGCCTCCGAGGTCACCGCAGGTACCCGAGGTCCTCCCGAAGGAACCCGAGGTCCTCCCGAGGTCCTTTCGAAGGAACCCGAGGTCCTGCCGAGGTCCTTCCGAGGTCCTTGGAACGGGGGGTGTGGGGGGGGGGTCTCGCGGTTACGCCGACAATGACGGCGACGGTGACGGCGACGCCGACTCAGCTCAAGCCGGAAACGGCCGCCTAAGAGCTCCGCCCTAAAAAACGAAACTTGCTCGTAGTGGCTCTTGCCGTTTTGTTTCGAAAAGTAGAGTCAAAGGAAATGTTTTCAAACATGCAAGATCGTTATCCCCGACACCGCCGCAGGCTCCAATCAACAGAACAGTTGTGGCGGCGCCCATTGACGCCAATCGTCCGCTACATTTGGTGATCGACGCCGCCATAAGCGGTGTTGGGTAAAGTACATCTAAAACGTACTTGAAGTAAAGTAAAAAGTAAATGAGACGTGATATACTTGAAGTAAAGTATTGAATACACTGGTTGCAATGTACCTGAAGTAAAGTATTTTAAATACATTGTACTTGAAGTAAAGTACTTTAAATACAATGCACTTGTAAAGTACAAGTATATATCTTAACACAATCTTTCATAATGCCCTTTCATTCCCTTATACAGTGATTTCTTAACTGGTATTAACTGCCCAGGGGTAATCAGGGGTGCATGACCTATATTTTCAAAAACAGCGGCGAATATTTTATAAGGTCAAGTGGCTACAGAGTAGTTAATTTCTGGAATGGAGCCGAATTCGGAAGTCCGCCTTCTGAATTTGGCGCCCCTTGCACTGGATTATTGTACCCTAGCGGGTTAAATGTACTAGAAGTGAGCATGACGTCAGCCCCGTAGCTTCTGAAAGCAACCCTCTGAAGCGAGCTGGTGATAATTAATCATAATGTGACACCTGAGATTGGGGTGTGAAAAGAATTAAGGAACTTTCAAATAGAAGAAAAAGACAAATGAGAATGTCTCAAAACATTCTGACGTTCTCCTCTGTTGTCTTTTACTTCGACTTGAAAATTTAATTTTTCCGTGCTACAGTCTCAGGTGCTACATTATGATTAATTTTGCTCTCCTGATACCTTCAACCTCCTCGCTTGCACTGACCAACCAAGAAGTAGCGAGAGTACTAAAAGCTACGGGAAAGCCGCCTCCAGAACAAACGGAGCGATGCGTCGTCTGCTTACGTTTATGGTGAGAGTAGAATTTCCCTATTTCTTCGGAGTTGACAAAGCATCATTTCGTTATACAAATTTAACAAAGCCATATTTGGGGAATGTACTTTGAAGTCGGAAATTGTACTTTCCTCTTGGGGAATGTACTTTGAAGTCGGGAATTGTACTTTCCTCAGAAAGCACCAAAAATACTATAAATACAGTACAAGTACATACTCGGAGATTGTACTTCAAGTAAAGTACAAGTTTCCTAAACCTACTTCAAGTACAATGTACTTAAGTACTTCCCAACACTGCCATAAAGTAGTCAAAAAGGCGGGGTTTCAAGATTAGTGGTCTAGAGAAGTGTGAAATTGCTTACGAAATTAGTGAGTTATATCGGTTATACAGTCTAACCGAGTACAAGAGTTTGACGCAAAAATTGGAAAGGCAGGTGCAGGAAGGTTTCTTGGCTATGTGGCGCAAACTCGTCCAATATAGAGGGCACAGCAACCAGAATTCAACCATCTATGTAGCCACCGCAGGCAGCTCCGTGGCCCCAGGTTCGAACACTCCGCCGCGGGACGGCGCCGGACGAGGCGAGGAGCCGGCTGTGTTAATGAGGCCCGAGTGAGCGTCTGGTGTCTCAAACATGGATGGGAAATTCAACCAGTGCAGCACGATTCCTCACCCGGGGTTTTTAACGTGCACCACGCAGTAGCGATACACGTCCGCATGCCGGTACGATGTTCATCCAGATCAAAACGGTTCAATCGCCACCCCTACGATCAACCAGATCGCAACGGTCAGCTGACCGTTTCGATCTGGTTGATCGTCATAACGGCGTATAGTCGTTTGTCACAGCTGCGTGGTGAATACTGAAAACCTCAGGATAGCGGTTGTACTGCACTTACTAAATTGCTTATCCACACCTGAGAGAAAAGTCACCCGTTTAGGCAAACAAACTTCAGGTTTTATAAATATGCACACAACACAATTGTTCAAGATCAAAACGGGCTGTTGGAGATTGAACCCAGGATCCCTGGCTTTTGTTGCGCTCGCTGTGGATAAATGTTTAGCCACTGAAATACCACCGCAAGGTCCTTTTTTATATATATAAACATCTGCCAGTTGTAATGCACGACCGCACGCTCTACACGGGCGGGGGAAGGATTGAACTCGGGGTCCCCGGGTCCATGCAGCACGACCTTTAGCTTCCCGTGTCAGAAAGCTGAGGTGCGCTAAATATACTCGGCCACCGAACTCCCACGGAACACACCATTAATAGACACATTACAGGCGCCATTGTGTTGTATCGTATTGTACTTTTCTTGCACAGTGCCGCTCTGTACTGTGCAAGCTAAGATGGGCGGGAGGTCAAGCGAACGCTCGCTTTTCACGCTGGCCATGACCGGTCTCGCGCTTCTTGCCTCGTGCGTCAGTATCACCATGGTACCGTCCGAAAGCAACTCACAGCGCCACGACAGTTAAATCCGTTTAAATAAATATTTGGAAATTATTTTATTAATAAAACGAAGCGGGCGATAAATAATAAAGAAATCAATCGGGTTCCTATTTAAGACTGAACAGTAACGTGTTCCTATTTGAAAGTGAACAGTAACGTGTTCCTATTTAAGACTGAACTGTAAAACAAAATGTTTATCATTTTTTCCTAGCATCTCTCTTTTCTAGCACTGGACTGCAAGGTGACGTTGCTTTTCGCATACAGGTTAGACTGTGCTGTGTAGTCTTGAATCGGGGGACTGCTCTCGCCCACGCGATATATAAAAATCAGCAGATACTTTTACCTTCAAAGTCCTATGTTACATTAAACGCATTATAGGAATTGGAATTAACCTTTTTCCTCTAAATTTAGCGGGGGACTGAATCGGTGTATAGGTTATGTGACATTAATTTTCCCGCCGAATTTAGCGAGGGCCCTGAATCGGTGTACAAATTATGTGACGTCACTTTTTTGGTTATATTTAGCGGGTGGAAACTGAATTTATCTGTAGGTTCCATTACGCCAGCTCACTAGACATCGAATTTCCCGCTAAATTTAGCAGGAAAACTGAATTCGAGTATAGGTCTCATGAAATAAATTTTCCGCTAAATTTAGCGGGTAATGCACGAACCGACGGACGGACGGACGAAATGTTGGGATTGGAGGTAGTGTTAAAAAGCGTTACATGCGTTAATATATTATCTGTGAATGAATTGAAGAAATTGTTTTGAATATATAACCTTACCTTATCTCACAGATACATCACCTTGATGATGTCATTGCTGTCACCAAACTTCTCCTACGCCTTGTGGACCATCGTCTATGATAATAGTTACAAAGGTGAGGCTCATATTATTTCATGTTTCTTTTTCCAAAATAAAAGTTCTGTTCATAAAACACTGTAGAATGTGCAGGTTGAATAATTGACGTCACAAAGTCGCGTCACAGTGACGTCAGAGTCACCAGACACACCAGATTGTTACGTGACGTCGCACTGTGACGTGACGTCAAGATTCCACGAAGGATTAGCTAAAACTTACTAGAAGTTAGAAACTCTACATAATATCTATAACCCAGTTTATAAAGTTCAATATGAACTTCATAAAGCATCTATAGAAATTTAAAAAAAAAAGTATTTATAGTGCTTTATAGGAACTCTATAAAACTTATTCTAGAGAACCCATCTCATGATGTCACGTGACTACTAGCCAGTCACATACCATTTTTTATTTGTATAGCTTTATAGTCATTAATGAGTGTGCCACTCTCCGACCAGACATCGGTGATGTTTGCTCGTAAGGTACAAGATTCACAAGTGCAGAACACACAATTATACGTTTGGGTTCGATATGATATCGCAGCCATCGCTGTGACTAGAGTAACTAAATGAGCTGCGCTTAAAGTATTGGCACTCCGGTCCCCGATATCCTAGGGGTCGCCGCCATCCTGGTGCTTAGTTTAGAGCATACGCAACTGTCGATTGTCTCAATTGAAAAATGCGACTTCGTCAGCCTTTGTCACGGCGGTAGGACGCTCAGGTGATATTTTTTGCACTGTCGAGAACTGTTTTAACATTTCTAGAGGACGCAAAAGCCTTTTCTACGATTTCAAATAAAGCTTCACATAACTGGCGACTATGATTTTAAGCACCAAGACGGCTCAAGCGCCTTTATTCTGAAGCGTAGTTTATTCAGTGCCTCTGTGACTCTACTGTGCATTCACAGAGGGCTGCTAAGTTTTTGCCTCCTGAAGATTTTTCTAATACTTATTTTGCGTCCGCCATCAGCTGGATGATCGAAGACTAGCTGGAATCAAATTGTCACCAATAATAAAAGAAGAAACAGAAAAAGAAAAGGTTTCCTGGTGCAGAATTAATTTTTAACAAACAGATACAGCGAGGAAAAACCAAGAAAATGTCGGCTTTGTTCGTGTCACGGTTTTCTCGAGCCGAACTCAGCTACTGAAGCACTTGAATGGTGTATACGCTTCGACATAGATACGCGGTAGTCCGCAGTAAGTCAACTTTTTTGTGCGTCTTATATTGAGAGCCGTTACACCGGTTAAATTTCTCTGACCACATCTCGTCTCAACCGACGGAAAGTTAAAGTGCTTCTAAGAGTCGCCACAAGTTTCTTTTATTGACTCCAAGGTAAAAGCTTGCTTCGTGAAGACTCCCTTGCGCTGAAACGTCACTTAAGGTTCTGCTTGCTAAGATGGTGTTTACATCTTTCAATATAAAAGGTATATTTTGTGTATTTCAAATAGGTGAATATTTTTGTTTACTTACTTCTTTTGGTGCTTGATGTAGCATGTATGCGGTCAAAATTTCGCTATGATACATGTTTTCACAAAACTCTTAAGATATTTATAATTTGTGACAAAGCTGTCTCTAAAACGCCTTCTTTTTTTCTTTTTTGATAGTGTTTACCACGTAAAGGAACTGAGCTCATGCTTTAGAAATGTCTGGATCTTTTAATTTTGTAACATACGCTTTCTCTGAGATGTTTGTATTATTTTCATTGCTGCCACTGTAAGGTGGCCGAGGGTCCGTCAAATTGCCTGTGGGTAGTTTTTTCCTTCAATCTCTGTCATCAAAGAATATAAATGAAAGTATTTCATATTATTATTAACCCCGGTCTACATTTCAAAACAGGATTTCCCACAAGTATGCCGGAGGCAGTTCTTCGGGAGCTATTCGGTGAGTACATTTTTTTTGCGCTTTCCGCCCAAACATAACAGGTGACGGGTTAATAATCGAGTAAATATTCGGCCTTAGGAGCCATGTTTCTGCCTTTGACGGCCCTTGTCGAACAGGGCAGCCAAAGACCTGTGCAGGAAAACGAATGCGTGCTGGAGGCGGAGCATCCAGCGTATTTTTAACCTTTCGCCGTCTCTAAAGGCGTGGCCACAAAGCTAATGCATAATAGAGAAGACTACAGAAACTGTCTGGAGCGTGTGTCTTTATTGTATGATGGTCACATTGGTCACAGAAAAACCGTCTGCAGACATATATGAAGGAAACATGCTTCGAACATCCTTAAGGCGGGTCCGCAGGTAATTTTACCATCATACCTGCACCGTGTGTTTTGTATTGTGTATGAGCAGTGAGAGTTATCAATATTATTTTTCTACCGTCATAAAAATACAATATAAACTATAGACTCTATTCAATAAAGTATACGGTCTTCCAAATACTTTTTTTAAAACGTGGAATCAGTTTTAACGGACCCGCCCCCCTTAAGGGGTATTCACACGAGGGAGAAATCCTGGGGATTTCTCCCCGGCACGCGCATCCCACGACGAAAACGACAGGCTTTGGGATGTGCAAAAGCCTCGCGTTTTCATCTCGTGATGCGCGCGTGCCGGGGAGAAATCCCCGGGATTTCTCCCTCGTGTGAATACCCCTTTATCTCAGACTATTGTCCGAGCATTTCACCACAACATTTAGCGGGGAAATCGACCCCACGTCACTAATGTCACGTGACGTCATGGTATCACGTGACACCACAACTTGACGCCGTGATGTCAGGTCGCCGGGCCTGACGTGATGCACGACATTTAGAGGGAAACTTGATTTCCCGTACATTGGACGTCGTGCAATATTTCCCCGCTAAAATACATGACGTCACGTGACCTGAAGGAACGCATAATTTTTCCACTAATTTTAGTGAAAAGCGTAACACCACGTGACGTCGTGGTATTGCGTGACGCCGTCAATCGAAGACATCTAGAGGACAGGTCGCAGGGTTTGTCTTCTACATGGTATGCATAGCGCAAATTGGTCTGCTTCTTTTGCAGTGGTTGTGGTGACGCCAGAAATACAACCAGCTCTGATTGGCTCTGATTGAGGGTTCGTGAGTAGACCTCAAAGCAAGCTGCCTTTAGGACTACCCACTATCCTCGGGTCAGAGATGATCGGATCAAGCTCGGCGTTGTGACGTCACCACAACCCTTGCAAAAGAAGCAGACGAACTTTCGCGCCACAGTGGTTGACGACGCGTGCCAGAGTTCGAGCCCACTTTTATCAAAATAACAAGAACAACATCAAAGTAGTTTAATATTGAATCCTTTCTCTTTCTTTTTACGTTCCGTTTACAGCAGGGAGAGGTATAAATCTACGTTTCATCGATTCGGATTGTCCGAGTCCGCTTCCTTACGCTACATCAGCCACTATTCACCTCTGGCACTTGACTGAATGAGGGTCAAGACCTGGAGTCGTCAGCATCGGCAGTGACTACTTCCACCACAACCGAATCGCCTCGCATCGCAGCACAGTTGTCTCGCTCCAAGCCCCCGCTTTGCCAATCCGATACCACCCAGAAGACAAGGCTTGCGCCGTTCCTCCCCAAATGTCATTTCTGGTGGATCCGCACAGTTCCGCCTGAACTAGGCGTCATCATCGCCGCCAGCCCTTCTTGGAGCATGTAAAAACCGGCGCGACGACGGGACCAAAAAAAATGACGCCAAGAACGCACCATGATAATGTTCGTCGTGTTGCGTGCGTGTTCTTTCATTACTGAATCAAGTATGCACATGCAATGCCCAGTATCTTGAGTCTTTCAAGCTGTTTGATTGGTCCCATCAGCATGTAGCATCGGCTCTACCCGGAGTTAGCTAAAATAAACTAAACTACACGTCAAAGCTGAATAGTATCGCTATACAAATGTATCGCGATGGTATCTTAGAGATACTTCAGAGTATCTGCATCTCTTTATCAAGAGACATTTAAAAAAGCTATTGGTATCCCAAGAGTGAAATACATATTCAGATGTATTTCTTGTATCGTGAGGCTTGGCCAGACTATAAGGTACCTTGTTACATCTTGCTCCTTTTTAAGATAAATTTAAAGGATAAAAACATCTGTTTGGTGCAAGTTGCTTCGGAATTTATAGTATGAGCCCGCCAACATGATCCATTGCAGTCACCAATATTTTAAAAAAGAATCTGTGGCTTAAAGAAGGTTACTTGCAAAAATCACAAAATCCGCTCCTGTCATAAAGGCCTCCACTCCTTCCAACTCTGCAGAGCGAACGCCGTAAAGGAATTGAGTGGAGAAAACGTTCGGCCCTGTTTTTCCATGTCCCCATATTTTGGTGAGTCAGACGCATATGAGACGACAGTTTGAGATGCGCCCTCACGGCAAAACGGGTTTCATTTCGGGCAGACGCCTTTTGTCAAGCGACGTCGTACGCAGTCTTTACCGTTCTGTAACTATGTGGTCTAACGGTGGTGACATCTATTTTTAGCGGCATTAATGATAAATAAAGGGTTCGAGGTAAGGGCTAGTGCATAAAATGGCACAAAAAGGTAACACAAGCATAAAGTATCATTCGCATTCGCACTCTCCACGTAGCAGCGTTCGGAAACAAATATATTTCGGTACGTTTTTGTATTTCGGAATACTTTTTCGCCGTTTCCGCAGAAGTATCTGAGAAATATCCCGTTGCATAAAAGACAAATGCATCTCAGTACATGCGTTTGGGCCTTAAAACACGTACATCTCAGTATTTGTATTCCCGAGTGCTTTTTGGAGTATCTCTGCCCAGCCCTACTACGCGCTGACAGCAGAAATGGCGAATCTGCCCCTTTGCTGTGACATCTCGTCGAGCTTCGGCATGTTTGCCGCTTGGGACGGGTCGGGCGGGGATGCACTGACATTCTGACATTGGGGTCAGGTCCAAGCCTCGTCTTCTGGCGAATGTTGCTGAAAAGGTGTGCACCTTTTAAATGTTTTCCTTTTATTTTTGCCCCGTTAATAGAGGCTTTTTCGGGGTTTTGGGATACGCCATAATTCGAAGGTTCCTTTGTACTTTTCTGTTTTGTTTTAATTAATTCCAGGAAAAATATAAAACTGCATTCTGTCGATGCGAGTGTGTGTGCATCGTTTCACCAATTTTCCTGTCACTTTTAACCTATGGCACTTTACAAAGTGACGAAGACAAACCACCTCGGCAATATTCGGCAACACTTGCACCACAAACAGACACCTTGCATTGCTATAGACAATAGGTCAATTTCACAAGTGCGTACCGTGTAATAGCTGCTGCTGAAATTACCCGAGTGCGCCATTGATTAGGGCCCTACTCTGGGCATGGTGTTGTACTCGAAGTCTTGAAGAACTTCAAGTGTCGTTCAGGCCTTGAAGACTTCAAGTATCCTTCAGGCCTTGAAGACTTCAAGTGTCCTTCAAGTCTTGAATGACTCAAGTCTTGAAGTACTTGAAGCAATCAACGTTACTAAAACACGCAGTTGGGAAACTCACCCTTGAAACCTGGACCGCTGGCGTCTACCGAGACCGTGATAAATACGATAACAACGCCACCCTTTAGCAACGAGTTGATACATGACAGTTGCTTTATATGGCTACTGCTAGAGTCACTGAATTTTAAGGAATACCGACTCCCCTGCGCTTGATGGGCCAAGATGGCGGCTTGATCTCTCTTCTTTACTGTGGTCACCATGAACTTTTAGAAAGCATGTTTTTGCGTAAAAATAAGCGGAAAAATTTATTATTGTAGGATATTTTGTGGGAGATTAGTACAAAACGACATAAGCGTGATGTTTGCATAAACTTTTAGTGTACAGCCTTTTGTGGCACAATTATTGCTTTTCTATAACCATGTCTTACCGGTGACCTCAGGTAGCGCGTCCCGTCAAAATTACGCCGCAGCTTGTTTGGCTGTCAGTTGGGGAGAAAGAAAAAGTCGATATTCCATTAATTTTTTTGGGAAGTTAATAAACCGAAACAAAAACGGATGCCTGTTCGGCATTCAGTGAACATTGAAGGTTTAATGTAACAGCTGTCTGGGCAAAAGTAAAAAGGTCATTTCATGGGCCCTTTAAATCTTCTTGAACGTGTGACAATCTCGCTGCAGGTCTGCTCGTGCAGACACGAACTGTCTCGTGAACTCCCGCATGTTTTTCTTGAAACAAAGTTATGGTGTCGTTGCGCATACGTTACGTTACGTTACGTTACGTTACGTGACTAAGTCACCGGGACATATGTGCTTTATACTGCCGCTCGCGTGGCCGAATGGTTGCCGTGCTAGGCTGTCGCCCGGATGGTCTAGCTTCGATTCCAGTCAGCGGAATGCTCTTTTATTTATTCTTTCAATTTTGTGTTACCGTAAGTTCGAGGACATTGTCGTCTGATCGAGTTCCGAATGTTCTACGCGCCGAATGTTCTACGCCCAATGTTCCAGAAACCCAGGCGTACATGAGGGACTTTGCATGGCGAGCGGAGCCCGTCTCGCCCCAACGCTAGATTCTGCTGTCTCGCCGCCATCGACACCTGCGACGCTAACCTTCTTCTATTTTGTTTTGGGCACAAGATCGCCCACTGAACGTTTAGTTTCTCCAGTTATTATTCCCTTCATTATTTGTCATTCGTGAGAATATGAAGCGTGGCCACCAGTTGAAGAAGATTGCCTGATACGCGACATTCAAGACACGAATGTTTCCTTCACGGCGAGAAGTTTGGATGTCGCCGCCTGGTGGGATTTTTCTCATACCAAAGTGAGAATACTTCGACTTCTGCTGGTGCAAGCACGTGCCATGCCAAGCGTCTATGCACTATGAAAATTAAAACATAATCGCGTCTGTAGCACGTGCCCTACCCATAATGAGGTAAAGCTAGAGCCACTCTATGTGGCAGCGTAGGTAAAGCCCCTTCAAGTAGCGCAAGGTCCGTCGGTGCAAAAGGCACGTGCAACGTGCAGCCCTTAGGAAGATCTAGAGCCACTAAATGAGCTGCGCGTAGAGTATCGGCACTCTGTTCCCCAACATTGTTGTGGGGGCCGCCATTTTGGCTTTTGTGCAGTGCAGACGCAACTGCCGATCGTTATGATGCATAAGTGTGAGTTCCTCAGCATTGGAAGCTCATGTAATATTGTTTTGCTCTCTTGAGAAATGTTTAAACATTTGTAGAGGACGGAAAAGCGTTTCCTCTGATTTCCGATAAATCTTCAGATAACTGGCAACCATGATTTTAAGCCACAATCTGGCCAAGTGTCGTTACTCTGAAGCGAAGCTTATTTAGTTGCACTAGGAAGATCATGGTGGCAAAGCGCAACACTGAGCTAGAGTGTACTAGAAAGAACGAGTGGGGCCACCGGAGGGCTTTTTTGATACCTCCGCAAGTGGAAAAAAACGGCTAATTCAAGTCACTTCGCTCGTAGTGCCCTCTCGGGCACTTCGAGCGAAGTGGTTCGGATTAGTCTCTTTTTATGAAAAACGCGTTTCCTCCCAACGCCAAGCTCGACCGGCACACTGGTCAACTTAATAGAAACGATAGAACGTCGAACTATATTTTTATACAACCTAGACGTCAGGCGTCACGTACATAAAGTCACCGCGACCTGACTTGTCGTCACAACGCCATGCGACATCAGGACGATCCGCCTTGACGTCAACGTCGTCATCAACGTTGACAACGTGCGTTACCCGACATCAAACCTGCGTTCTGACGTCATATTTCGTTGACAACGACAACGATGTCAACGTTGACGTTGATGACGACGACGACAACGTCACGGGACGTCGAGATGACGGCGTCCTTGTCAATCCAACGCCATAAGGACGCTTGGTGCCAGTTCGTGGACGTCGTTGTCGACATGACGCCACCTGACGTCACGAAGACATCCCGATAGCTTCACGACGTCGACGTCATTGTCGGCGACGTTAAACGAAGTCAAGACTTCGTCGTGACTGCGCGTCGACGCTGATGCTGGCGAAGGCGACGACGTTACACGCCGTGAAGGCTTTGTCGTGACGTTGACGCTCACGGTGACGTCAGGACGACGTTAACGTGACGTCATAGCGATGTTGGACGTTGCGTGGGGCGTCGACGTCAACGTCGGCGTAGACGACCACGTCCACATCGTCCTCGATGTTAGCGCGACGTCATGACCACGTTACAAGGGCGACTTGATGTCGCGTAACGGCGTCGTCCTCAACGCGACGCGATGTCACGACCGCGTCACAACGGCGACTTGATGACGCGTAACGGCGTCGTCCTCAACGCGACGCGATGTCACGACCGCGTCACAACGGCGACTTGATGACGCGTAACGGCGTCGTCCTCAACGCGACGCGATGTCACTACCGCGTCACAACGGCGACTTGATGACGCGTAACGGCGTCGTCCTCAACGCGACGCGATGTCACTACCGCGTCACAACGGCGACTTGATGACGCGTAACGGCGTCGTCCTCAACGCGACGCGATGTCACTACCGCGTCACAACGGCGACTTGATGACGCGTAACGGCGTCGTCCTCAACGCGACGCGATGTCACTACCGCGTCACAACGGCGACTTGATGACGCGTAACGGCGTCGTCCTCAACGCGACGCGATGTCACTACCGCGTCACAACGGCGACTTGATGACGCGTAACGGCGTCGTCCTCAACGCGACGCGATGTCACTACCGCGTCACAACGGCGACTTGATGACGCGTAACGGCGTCGTCCTCAACGCGACGCGATGTCACTACCGCGTCACAACGGCGACTTGATGACGCGTAACGGCGTCGTCCTCAACGCGACGCGATGTCACTACCGCGTCACAACGGCGACTTGATGACGCGTAACGGCGTCGTCCTC